TCTATGCCAGGATCAGGGGCTGCTTTGTCAATAAAACCAAAGCACATGTGCCACCTTAGGTACCTTGATCTCTCAAATAATAGAGTCATCAAAGCACTTCCAGATGATACAAGCATCCTATATAGTCTCCAGACACTCAACCTTTCTGGCTGCGAGGATCTCAGAAGACTTCCAAAACAAATGAAGCACATGAGTAGCCTTCGTCATCTCTACACAGATGGGTGCACGAAGCTGGAGTGCATGCCTCCAGAGCTTGGACGAATCACCTCGCTTCGAACAATTACATGGTTTGTAGTGGGAAGTGGCTTGAATTGTAGCAGTCTTGGAGAGCTAAAGGATTTAAATATTGGTGGTTCATTAATGCTAAAGCAGCTCGAAAATGTGACAGTGAGAAGAAATGCAAAAGCAGCCAACCTTGAGAATAAGAAGGAACTGAGACAACTGTCACTAGAGTGGACAAGTGGTAAGGAGGATGAACAACAATGTCATGAGGTGCTACAGAGTCTCGAAGCTCATGATGGACTGCTGGCTCTAGAAATATATTCCTACCAAGGCACCAGTTTCCCATCATGGATGGGTATGTTGAAAAACATGGTTGAGCTTCGGTTATCTAATTGTAATAATGTAGAGCAGCTTCCTGAATTGGAACAGCTAGCAGAACTACAAGTCCTTCATTTGCAAAGATTGGGAAAATTGCAATTCCTGTGTAGCATCTGTACATCCTCCACATTTGGAAAGCTTAAGGATCTTAAGCTAGTTAATCTTCAGGTTTTTGATAGATTTTGGGAGGCAACACATGGAGCCACCGTAGCATTTCCTCAGCTTGAGATATTGCACATTGAAGGCTGTAAAAATTTGGCAGCATTACCAGAAGCATCGGTGCTCAGAGAAGCATATGGTGGTGGAGATTATACAGCGGCCTGCTCTGCATTTCGAGCACTGAAGAAGCTCAGACTGGAAGATTTAAATAGCTTTGAGAGATGGGGGTCTGCCCTTGAAATTGAAGAAGAACATGCACTGTTCCCTTTGCTTGAGATTCTAGTTATCATGAAATGCCCAAAGTTAACAACTCTGCCTAGGGCACCAAAGGTCAAAGAACTGGTTTTGAGGGAAGCAAATCAACAGATTTCTCTAGGAGGAATAAAAAATATGACGTCACTGGCCAGTTTGTCTTTGAAAGGCGTCAAGCTGGATGATAAGGAGGAATGGGACCATCCGTCGTCTGTGGTAGATATGAAACTATTGAGCTGCAGTTTGTTCTTCCAACCACGTGCACTAGCACTGTGGGTTTGCTATGGGCAGCTGCAGCATCTGACAATTGTTAGCTGCGATGAGCTTGTGTCCTGGCCGGAGAAAGTATTCCAAAGCTTGATTTCCTTGCGGAGGCTACGGATTTACAACTGCAATAATCTAATTGGATACGCAGCGGCAAATGCTCCTGACCAGGAAACATCAGGAAGGAGCCGACTTTTGCCCCATCTAGAGTTTTTAGAGATATCTTTGTGTGGAAGTCTGGTAGAGGTCTTCAACTCCCCTGCTCTCAAGACGATGCTTGTTGAAGGATGTTGTAAGCTTGAGTCCCTATACGGCAGGCAACAGTTGAATCAAGAGGCTAGTAGTACCCATGACGTGGCAGCATCCACACCTGTTGAGGAGAAGCTGTCACCATGGGCGGACCCGGATAAGCTCCTTCCATCATCTTTAGAATCTCTAATAATATTGGACTGTGACGGGTTGTTAGAGGTTGTCAATCTCCCCTCGTCCCTCAGGCAAATACATATTGGAAGTTGCTCCAAACTACGGTTCATATCAGGGCAAGTGGATGCACTCCAATACCTAGCAATTGCCACCTGCCCAGAGTTGCGGTCACTCTGTACGATTCATCTCTCAGCGCTGGAATACCTCGGTCTGCGGGGTTGCAAAAGCCTGGCATCCTTGCCCAGTGGGCCAGAACCACATGAATACTCATCTCTTCATGAGCTTACGATTAGGGAGTGCCCAGGTATAAAATCGCTCCCTTCGGCTCTGCAGCAGCGACTGGACAGCGACCTCGAATATATGGATCTAGATTCTCATCTTGAAGGTACGCACCAATCTTTCCCGTATGGTACATGCATAAATCTTGTGTTTGCATGCCGGCCCTGTCCATTTTTTGTTTGGTGGACACGCCGCCGTATATACATGTTTGCCCTGTCATTTGAAATCTCAGCGCTTACTACGTGCTAATTTTGACCGAATTAGCAGTAGTTATATATATGTATTTTTGAAATCTTATTGGATTTCGACGATTCTTTGACATATATATATATCGTGCTTGTGTTCTCCATGGCTGCCTGGGCATCTCTACCTCTCTGTTGCTCGCTTTATCCTTTGAGCATTTTTTTCCTAGAGTTTTCATATACGCATGGACTCTCTGTTGTCTGTTCCCACTTCCCACACCATGAGTTGAATTGTGTGTTTAGATTTGAACCAAATGTATACAGGCTGTTGATAACTTTAAAGCAGAGTTACGACCGAATTAGCATATGTTAAAAGCTTTAATTGATGAGTTTTTCTTTTAATTAACAGATCGCTCTCCGCGGCTGCTTGGTGGGCGTCTCTGCTCCTGGCTTTAATTTCTCCGCGACTTGGTCGGTCTTGGGTGAAGAGTGAAGGCCACACCCCAAATGCTGCCTTCTCCACTGACTGACATTCAATGGAGGAGGCGGAGGAGGAGGAGCAACAGCAGCAACTCGTCACCGTCACCAGCGATGAATCCAGCAGAAAGAAGAAGGACGTACACGCCCAAGCTGAAACTTCCCTCATCTGCAACTGCAATGCAAGGGTAAAAAGCAAGAACGCGACACCATGAGTACATCATAGCATAGGAGAACGAAGCGACCCAGAGCAACGGTCTGCTCTGCAGGAGGCTACATCCATGAGATCATAGATTATTAGATTCGTGGGCTATTCTTTGAGTCAAGGAATTACTGTTACTATTATAACCAGAGTTCATGAAGCAGGAGGAGATTTATTTATGAAGCGCCGTTTATTTATAATCAGCTTCATTGGTGCCTTTATTATTGGTTTTATTATATATACACAGCTCATGATATGCTAAGCACATGCATCTCTGTGATGTAGTCGCGGCAAATACGCATGCTTTGGGGAGGAGTTTGGATTGGTGGTTTCTCTTGCTATGCTGCTGAATGAAAAAGATGTGTAGGATGCTTTTGCGCTTGCATGTGGACTCAAAAAGCTGAACATGGATGCGGCAGGCAGGAGGCTGCTTCTGCTTCCAATGGGTTTCCTTCCATTGCAACGACACGAGTAATAATTCCCATGGGTTTCCTGCAGGCCGCCTCCAATGCAACCGCGATGGTTGCCGGGCCTAATATAAAGTCGTAAGAATGTGGCCCATTTCTCTTGAAGAAAAAAAAATATAAATTCCTTATCGGGCCCCTTGCTCCGCGGGTGCCGACGACCATGCCTGGCACGCCAAATAATAATTGGGAGCGCCTGTTGAGGGGATGCACATGTTGCGCTAACTAGCTTGCTAGATCGTTTTAAATTTCTCTATATGGATGCTTTAAGTGATCGATGTAAAAGAAATCTTTTTTTTAGGATGTAAAAAAATTTAGCATATATCATAGCAAGAAATGATATAATCATGAGCAATACGATATGATCGCTACACATCTCTAACTAGTCCCATATTCATAGCAAGAATCAAGTCCATTCCTCCTATGCGGAGCATTAAAAAAAAACCTAGACAAAATGGCTACAGGTGGTAGGCCAGGCGGTGCAGCTCTACCTAACGCCTCCATCCTCTTTTTAGAAAAGGCAAGGCCAACACACACCAGTTGAAAAATGGACTACTTGTCCTAGCTTATATATTTGCATAAAAAGAACTCAACATTTCCTATTCGTTCTATTGTTTTAATGCACTTGTTGCAAAATCTAAAATATCATAAGATGTAAGAGCATCTCCAAGAGTTTTCAAAATCCACTCCCAATATTTATTTTGCAAGATTGAATAAAACTGCCCTCCAACAACAACTCCCTATCTCAACTCCCAATCTTTCCGCATTTGGGAAAATCGACCAAATCGCGGGGAAATATACAAGCACGTATATATCGACCGGCCAATCTAGAGGTGGTAGGACGGGTTTTCAATGCAAATGTGCAAGAGAGAAAGAAAATATAAAAGTGGTTAGGATGATTTGGAAATGGTCCGTGCGGGATTCCTGATGCAAATTGTATTCTATATTTTAGGAGCGAGATTTTATAAAATATTGGAGAAATTAAACTTAACAAATGTGCTCCCAACTTTTTTTTATCTACTTGGAAAACTCATTGATTTACCAATTGCTTTTTTAGGAACTATATTGGAGATGCTCTAACTTCATGCAAAACACGCGGTGTAAGCCTAGTACGTAATACCTTTAGCTCTTGAACTTTATAGATTCATTTCCTGTGTACGTTTATATGTCGGTACTTCTAAGATGAACAATTCTCTATTCTAATTATTCCTAGGATTCTTCTAATTAATATGAATCCTTTATAATAACAATACATTAACTTTATATGGTGGTATTATTGGTTCACTAGCGGGCTCTTACTTCACGGGAGCACCCTACCACTATATCATACACTAGCATGTGGCAAGCGTAGGATGCTATCCTTTTATATTATTTTTTTACGAATCTTGTATTGAAAAAAAAAATTAGCCGAGGAACATTCCCCTAAAAAAAATTAGCCGAGCAACATTATCGAACTAGCTTGTGACTTGTGTAGATGTGCACTTTGCACGTACAAGCTTGCATGGTACTGTAGCCTTTATTGGCTTTCTTGCCGTATATACTGTACATGTATACGCTTGTTCGCACTTAGCTAGCTTCTGGTGCTTGTACACTGGTGGTGTTCCTGGGCCATCAAGGCCCGGCTTGCTAAGATGAAGAGGTGTTGCCGGGCCGCGCCGCTCCGCCGCCGCGGTGGCCATGCTTGCCGTTCCGGCGGCGATGGCGTGGAGAGGAACGCGTGTGTGCACAGCAGGGCGGCGGCGTGTTGGTGATTGCCAGTGTGTTGAGAGAGGGAGAAGGTTGGCCTCGGGTGTCTCCTTCAACCTTCATCAGCAGATTAATCTTCGTCCTCTGTCCCAAAAGATTTGTGCAATTACATTCATAAATAAACAGTGCAGTCATTGTGCTACGATTCTTGGTTCAGGTGGCGGCGCTGCTAACGCTGGCGCTGGTGATCGTGGTGAACCTGGCGCTGGGGCTCCTCCCCCCGGTGGACAACTTCGCCCACATCGGCGGCCTCATCTCGGGCTTCCTCCTCGGCTTCGTCTTCTTCATCCGCCCGCAGTTCGCCTGGCTCACCCAGCAGGGACGGGTATCAGCAGTTGCCGCGCAGCCTGGCTGGCAACCAACGGCGGCTGCAGCTCCTCCGGTACCGGTTCCGGTGAAGCGCAAGCACAAGACGTACCAGTACGTGCTGTGGCTGGCCGCCGCCGTGCTGCTCGTCGTCGGGTTCACGGTGGCCACCGTGCTGCTGTTCAGAGGGTACAATGCGAACGAGCACTGCCCGTGGTGCCACTACCTCAGCTGCGTGCCGACCACGAGGTGGAGGTGCGACGCGTCGCCGACCACGTGCACGGGTATGCAGCAGGAGAACACGCTGACCGTTGTCTGCGCCGGCGGCAAGAACCAGACGTACGTCGTCGCGTCGTCCGCGGATGCCACGCAGGACAGGATCAACGACCTCTGCAACCAGCTCTGCACCTAGCTAGTCAACTGGATGCCTGTCGTTCCCTATTCTTTTGTACACGAAGGAAGGAATAGATAGATCATAGATGCTCCATTTTTACTCACTGTCAGAGTCAGAGTGAGATGATGAACAACGTACACTTCCAAAACAGATTGTTGAGATTATTTTACAGCTGTTGAGATCTTTTTTTTTTTTAGAGAGCATCATCTACAGTCGCACGGAAGTAGTCTAGCCACGTAATGCAACCAAAGGGATGGATCCGTTTATGGTACGTAAAAAGCAATGTGGGTCCCACATGAAAAGTAAAAAAAACAGATCACGCACTGAAGCAAAAAAAAAAAAAAAAAAACAGCTCCTTTTCTGCCTCTTTCGTGACCGTGAGGCTGCCGCGCATCCCCGGCCGAGCGGAGATTCCCCGCGCCGCCGCCTCCAACGACGCCACCTCGGCCACAAAGCTCCGCGCCGCCCCAGCCCCGGCCTCGCCCATGGGCCATGGCTGCCACCGCCACATCCACGGTCATCACCACCTCGGCCACCGAGCTCCATGGCACCGCCGGCACCTCCACGGCCTACTTCGTGGCCACCACACCAAGCCGGTGATCGGAGATCTGCCTCGTTGGGCCGCGCCCGGGAGGTCGGAATCTGCCTCCGCCTTCCAAGATCAGCAACCAGCAGGTGCAAATCCATTTTTTAATGCACCAGGAGTCGACTCCAAGTCTTGCATCGGTTCTTCCCTTTGTTTCCTCAATGCATCGCCTCCTGTCCTGCAGTGGTTGATTCGACTCATTCTTGTGATGCATCGGTTTCAATTCTCAACGGGTTTTGAGTGGGCATGAAGGAAGGAACAGATGCATTGCTTTTGCTTTTTGCTTTGTTTCTGTATGTACATAAGGGAAAGCATCGGTTCTTCCCTTTCTTTCCTCAATGCATCGCCTCCTGTCCTGCAGTGGTTGATTCGACTCATTCTTGTGATGCATCGGTTTCAATTCTCAACGGGAACAGATAAAGGTTCTTTGAGTGGGCATGAAGGAAGGAACAGATGCATTGCTTTTGCTTTTTGCTTTGTTTCTGTATGTGCATAAGGTACTGGAGCTTTTCAACTGTCAGAGTGAGATGGAGAAACATACAGCTCGAAATGAAAACAGGATGCGAGCTATTATTATTTATGCAGCACCACCGTTTCAGTCTTCACTCTTCAGGGTGCCTTCCTTGTACAACTGATGTCGACCAAATCCCCACCTGGTATATTTATTTGATTTCCATGAGACAGAAAGAGAGATAGAAAGACAAAGAATTTATTCGATTTTCAGCCTCAGCCTTCATGAGAGGGAAATATAAAGACATATTGAGACAGGGAAAGAATTCATTCGATTTCCAGCCGTAATGGTGCCGTATTAGTTAGTACTATGCGTTATTTTATTAGATAGAATGCAGCAACCAAAGATGCCCTGCTGGGCTGACGGGCAAAGCTAGGAAGTCGATGCCCCAGCCCCACTCTGTTTCTCTCCAAAGCCACCATCACTCTGTTTTCCTCCAAAGCCACCATTCTCTTCTGTCTTCTCCACGCCGCCACGCCATTGTGTTTCCATCCCCTGCGCGCGCTCTCCTCTCCCACTGAGCGCGCGTTCTCAATCCAGAGCTCTGTTGAGTGCTCCAATGGCAGAACTAGCGGCCAGCCTGGTGGTTGGGCCGCTGGTGTCCCTGCTGAAGGACAAGGTGTCCAGCTACCTCCTGGACCAGTACAACGTGATGGAGGGCATGGAGAAGCAGCGCAAGATCCTCAAGCGCAAGCTGCCTGCCATCCTCGACATCATGGCCGATGCCGAGAAGCAGGCGTCTCGCCGAGGAGGAGTAAAGGCATGGCTTGAGGAGCTCAAGATGGTGGCGTACGAGGCGAACGACGTCTTTGACGAGTTCGAGTACGAGGCGCTCCGCCGTCGAGCCAAGAAGAATGGGCACATCACCAAGCTCGGCATGGCTGGAGTAAAACTCTTCCCTACTCACAACCGTGTCGCATTCCGTAGCAGGATGGGAAACAAGCTTGACAGCATTGTTGAGGCCATCAAGGTCCTTGTGGAGGAAATGAAAGATTTTGGATTCGACAAGCTTCAGCCTGAGGCACCAGCATGGAAGGAGTGGCGTCAGACAGATTCCATTATCGTCGACCCCGAAAAAATTGTTAGCAGATCTAGAGATAAGGAGAGGGAGAAAATTATTGAGGTATTGCTCAGCCATCAAGCTAGCAGTGGTGATCTCTTAGTTCTTCCCATCGTTGGAATGGGAGGATTGGGCAAGACCACCCTCGCTCAACTCATCTACAATGACCCTCGAGTCCAGGAGCATTTCCAACTTCTAAATTGGGTATGTGTCTCAGATGATTTCGATGTCCGCAATCTTGCCATCAAGATATGTGATTGTGATGCTTCGAAGACAACCCTTGAGAAGGCACTCAACAACCTTCAGGAACATCTTAGGGGAAAGAGGTATTATTGCTAGAGCTTATTATTGCTAACTCAACTCTCACCTTCTATCATGCTTTTATGCTTTATTTATTCTTGCTGAACACTCAGTACATCATGTCATGTATTGTGTACCCCTATGTAATATTTAGATAATATAAGTTTGTGCGTGGGTTGTAAAATAAAGTACAGGTCTAATTATCTCAGTCATGCTTTTTTTGGCATAGTCACATGTAAGAAATATTTACTACTGTGTTCTATCACTATGCAATCCCAGAAAAGTACAGCATGGTTCCAAAATTGAAGCTTGAATTATTGACCAAGAACATTATATAGCCACCCCACCCCACGCACATCCAAACATGGAATTAGCTCTAACTAATTTTTTTTCTAGAGGTTTACAGTCTATATAACAACTTCCATTGCAACATAGGCTCTATGCTTGATTTAGGGCCATGCACATAGAAAGGTACTAACAGAAAAAATGTTCCTAATAGGTATCTTCTTGTATTGGATGACGTATGGAATAAGGATGTTGACAAATGGGGAAAGTTGAAGGCATGTCTTAATCAAGGCGGTGTCGGTAGTGCCATATTGACAACGACTCGTGATAAAGAAATAGCCGAATTCATGGGTACAGTAGCAAACAACTCATCATGGAAAAATAAATACCATGATGTGGCAATTTTGGACATAGAATTCATACATGAAATTATTGAAACAAGAGCTTTCAGTTTGCAGAAGACTAAGCCAGAGGAGCTAGTTAAGTTGGTTGGCCCGATTGCAGAGAGATGTGTTGGATCTCCATTGGCAGCCAAAGCATTGGGGTCTGTATTGTGTAACAAGACCACTAAGGAAGAATGGGAGGACATATTACATCGAAGCAGGATATGCGATGACGAGACCGGGATTTTACCTATACTCAGGCTCAGCTATAATGACTTGCCAACTGACATGAAGCAATGCTTTGCCTTTTGTGCTATGTATCCAAAGGATTATCAAATTGATGTTGAAGAGCTTATCCAACTATGGATGGCCAATGGTTATATCTCAGATCAAAACAAGGTACCTGCTGAAACCATGGGTAAACGGATTGTCAATGAGATGGTTTCAAGGTCATTCTTCCAGTATGAGGAGCAAAGAAGGATTGGGTATAGTTCTACAACTTTTGTGAAGATCCATGACCTCATGCATGATGTTGCACTTTCTGCTTCAGAGAAGGAGTGTGTTTGTATAACTGATGAATTCTTTCGAAGTGGTGACTTGCTTCCTAGTGTTGCTTGGCATATACAGTTTCAAAGAAGCACAAACAAAAAGGAATTAAACTTTTTATTTGGTACTACGAGGGAAATGTTTCCACATATACAAACAATGATATTTGATAGATCTGATTATTACCATGAAGATGTGCCACATTCATCAAAATTTAGTTCTCTCCGAGCACTTTCTATGCCAGTATCAGGGGCTCATTTGTCAATAAAAGCAAAGCACTTGTGCCACCTTAGGTACCTTGATCTCTCAGATAATGATGGCATCAAAGCACTTCCAGATGATATAAGCATCCTATATAGTCTCCAGACACTAAAACTTTCTAACTGCAGCAGTCTCAAAAGACTTCCTGAGCAAATGAAGCACATGAGTAGCCTTCGTCATCTCTACACAGATGGGTGCACGAAGCTGGAGTGCATGCCTCCAGAGCTTGGACGAATCACCTCGCTTCGAACAATTACATGGTTTGTAGTGGGAAGTGGCTTGAATTGTGGCAGTCTTGGAGAGCTAAAGGATTTAAATATTGGTGGTTCATTAATGCTAAAGCAGCTCGAAAATGTGACAGTGAGAAGAAATGCAAAAGCAGCCAACCTTGAGAATAAGAAGGAATTGAGACAACTGTCACTAGAGTGGACAAGTGGTAAGGAGGATGAACAACAATGTCATGAGGTGCTACAGAGTCTCGAAGCTCATGATGGACTGCTGGCTCTAGAAATATATTCCTACCAAGGCACCAGTTTCCCATCATGGATGGGTATGTTGAAAAACATGGTTGAGCTTCGGTTATCTAATTGTAGTAAGGTGGATCAGCTCCCTGAATTGGAACAGCTAGCAGAACTACAAGTTCTTCATTTGGAAGGATTGGGAAAATTACAATTCCTGTGTAGCAGCTGTACATCCTCCACATTTGGAAAGCTTAAGGATCTTAAGCTAGTTAATGTTCAGGTTTTTGATAGATTTTGTCAGGCAGCACATGGAGGTATCGTAGCATTTCCTCAGCTTGAGATATTGCACATTAAGGGCTGTGACGTGTTGTCAGAGGTTGTCAATCTTCCCTCGTCCCTCAGGGAAATAGATATTCAAAATTGCTCCAAACTACGGTTCATATCAGGCCAGCTGGATGCACTCGAAAGCGTAGTAATTGCGGTCTGCCCGGAGTTGCGGTCACTAGAATCATTACGTATCATAGATCTCTCAGCACTGGAATCCCTCCTTCTGCACGGTTGCAAAAGCCTGGCATCCTTGCCCAGTGGGCCAGAACCACAAGACTACTCATCTCTTCGTCGGCTTGTAATTAGGGAGTGCCCAGGTATCAAATCGCTCGCTTCGGCTCTGCAGCAGCGACTGGACAGCGGCCTCGAGTATACGTATCTAGATTCTCGTCTTGAAGGTACGCACCAATCTTTCCCGTATTGTGCATGAATAAATCTTGTGTTTGCATACCGGCCCTGTCCATTTTTTGTTTGGTGGACACACCGCCATATATACATGTTTGCCCTGTCATTTTAAATCTCAGCGCTTACTATTTCTATGTGCTAATTTTGACCGAAGCAGCAGATATATGTATTTTTGAAATCTTATTGGATTTCGACGATTCTTTGACATCTATATATCACTCTTGTGTTCTCCATGGCTGCCTGGGCATCTCTACCTCTCTGCTGCTCGCTTTATCCTTTGAGCATTTTTCCCTAGAGTTTTCATATACGCATGGACTCTCTGTTCCCACTTCCCACACCATGAGTTGAATTGTGTGTTTAGAATTGGACCAAATGTATACAGGCCGTTGACAACTGAAAAGCAGAGTCTGACCGGATTATTCTGTTGGTTTCAGCCAGACTTATTCAACCAGCCAACAGTGTTTTCCTCTCACAACAAACTAGCACCAGCCAGCCCAAATCAGCCCAGAAACCTACCAACGAACACGCCGATTAGCATATTATATATATATATACTCCTATTTTGAAGTTTTATTGGGCGAGCATTGATGATTTCTTTATATATATAATACTTAACAGGTCGCTTTCCACGGCTGCTTGGGCGTCTCTGCTCCTCGCTCTTAGGCCACTGACTGACATCCAATGGAGGAGGAGGAGGAGCAACAGCAGCAACTCGTCACCGTCACCAGCGATGAATCCAGCAGAAAGAAGGACGTACACGCCCAAGCTGAAACTTCCCTCATCTGCAACTGCAATGCAAGGGTAAAAACCAAGAACTAGACACCATGAGTACATCATAGCATAGGAGGCTACATCCATGAGATCATAGATTATTAGATTCGTGGGCTATTCTTTGTGAGTCAAGGAATTACTGTTAGTATTATAATCAGAGTTCATGAAGCAGGAGGAGATTTATTTATGAAGCGCCGTTTATTTATAATCAGTTTCATTGGTGCCTTTATTATTGGTTTTATTATATATACACAGCTCATGATAAGGTAAGCACATGCATCTCTGTGATGTAGTCGCGGCAAATATGCATGCTTTGGTGAGGAGTTTGGATTGGTGGTTTCTCTTGCTATGCTGCTGAATGAAAAAGCTGTGTAGGATGCTTTTGCGCTTGCATGTGGACTCAAAAAGCTGAACATGGATGCGGCAGGCAGGAGGCTGCTTCTGCTTCCAATAGGGTTCCTTCCATTGCAACGACACGAGTAATAATTCCCATGGGTTTCCTGCAGGCCGCCTCCAACGCAACCGCGATGGTTGCCGGGCCTAATATAAAGTCATAAGAATGCGGCCCATTTCTCTTGAAGAAAAAAAATTCCTTACTGGGCCCCTTGCTCCGCGGGTGCCGACGACCATGCCTGGCATGCGCGCTGGTACGGGGAGCGGCGCCCGGGGACGTAACGAGCATGTTGCATCCTATGCACGTGTCAACTCTACCAAACGCCTCCATCCTCTTTTTAGAAAAGGCGAGGCCTACACACATGAGTTGAAAAATGGACTACTTGTCCGAGCTTATATATTTGCATAAAAAGAACTCAACGTTTCCTATTCGTTGTATTGTTTTAATGCACTTGTTGCAAAATCTAAAATATCATAAGATGTAAGAGCATCTCCAAGAGTTTCTAAAATCCACTCCCAATGTTTTTTTTTGCAAGGTTGAATAAAATTGCTCTCCAACAACAACAACTCCCTATCTCAACTCCCAATCTTTCCGCACTCGGGAAAATTGACCAAATCGCAGGGAAATATACAAGCACGTATATATCGACCGGCCAATCTAGAGGTGGTAGGACGGTTTTCAATGCAAATGTGCAAGAGAGAAAGAAAATATAAAAGTGGTTAGGGTGATTTGGAAATGGTCCGTGCGAGATTCCTGATGCAAAATTGTATTCTATATTTTAGGAACGAGATTTTGTAAAATATTGGAGAAATTAAACTTAACAAATGTGCTCCCAACTTTTTTTTATCTACTTGGAAAACTCATTGATTTACCAATTGCTTTTTTAGGAACTGTATTGGAGATGCTCTAACTTCATGCAAAACACGTGGTGCAAGCCTAGTACGTAATACCTTTAGCTCTTGAACTTTATAGATTCATTTCCTGTGTACGTTTATATGTCGGTACTTACTTCTTAGATGAACAATTCTCTATTCTAATTATTCCCAGGATTCTTCTAATTAATATGAAACCTTTATAATAACAATACATTAACTTTATATGGTGGTATTATTCGTTCACTAGCGGGCTCTTACTTCACAGGAGCACCCCACCACTATATCATACACTAGCATGTGGCAAGCGTAGGATGCTATCCTTTTATATTATTTTTTTACAAATTTTGTTTTGAAAATTTCAATGTCTAAATGAGTTTAGATGAAACTAGCTTGAACCACCGAGCTTTAGATTTTGTTGAGCACTGCAACTTTGGTACAAAACAGGTTTTCATTTGAGTCGTTTGGAAAATTTCGATTAATCTAAGGATTCAAAACATATACTTGGGACCCTAAAAAAGCTGAACATGTGACCCCGAGACGGATGCTTTTGCATTTGCATGGACTCAAAAAGCTGAACATGGATGCCGCAGGCTCAGGCAGGTGAGTCAAGCAACGCATATGATCGGAGTAGTAATAAAAATAAAAACAGAACATGAGGAGGGACTCATACGGTGGTTTTGGGGGACGGGGTGATCGAGCCCACGCGACAGTCCCTTGGCCATCAATCAAAATCGCTGGCAGCGTGGCATACGCGACTCCTAAGTGATTTTTGTGTCTATAGCAGTCAGCCAAGGCTCCACGTCCCTCCATCAATTGTTTTGACGAACAATTGGTAGCAGTCAGTCAAGGGTGGCTGGCTGCCGGCCATGTGACCTTGTCCCCCTGTCCCTGGCCCTCCATTATTGCCGACGTCGACGCGACCACAAGCACAGGACGAGCACGAGAGAGCGGCGTGCTACCAAACCATTTCGAAACATGTTCTTTTCGAGAGGGAATCGTCGAAAGGAGATTTGATAGAGATTTGGCTCCCGCCAAAATAGCTTCAGTTATAACTTTAGTGGGGAGTAGATTCTCCTAAAGAGCTGAAGCAGTTTTTTTAAACCGTTTAGCAAAACAGTTTTTCCTTATGATAAAAAATGATAGAATCTCTAAAATACTCTTATTTTTTTCTTTTTTCTTTTTGTTTCTATTTTCTTTTTTCTTTTGCTACCTTATCCGCTCGCTTGTGGTTGCAACAGCCGCACGCGAGTGCCTTATCTGCTCGCTCGCATGGCCGCACGAAAGGAGGTTTCTCATGCTTTAACTACATAGGAGTACGAGTTACCAGAGAGAGGTCGCAGCTTGCCCACACCCTACCATTGTGTGTTCTCGACAACTCTGCTGAGCGCTGAGTGCTCGCTCCAATGGCTGAACTAGCGGCCAGCCTGGTGGTTGGGCCGCTGGTGTCCCTGCTGAAGAAGTTGTCCAGCTCTCTCCTGGACCAGTACAACGTGATGGAGGGCATGGAGAAGCAGCACAAGATCCTCAAGCGCAAGCTGCCTGCCATCCTCGACGTCATGGCTGATGCCGAGAAGCAGGCGTCTCGCCGAGGAGGAGTAAAGGCATGGCTTGAGGAGCTCAAGACGGTGGCGTACGAGGCGAACGACGTCTTTGACGAGTTCGAGTACGAGGCACTCCGCCGTCGAGCCAAGAAGAATGGGCACATCACCAAGCTCGGCATGGCTGGAGTAAAACTCTTCCCTACTCACAACCGTGTCGCGTTCTGTAGCAGGATGGGAAACAAGCTTAGCAGCATTGTTGAGGCCATCAAGGTCCTTGTGGAGGAAATGAAAGATTTTGGATTCGACAAGCTTCAGCCCGAGGCACCAGCATGGAAGGAGTGGCGTCAGACAGATTCCATTATCGTCGACACCGAAAATATTGTTAGCAGATTTAGAGATAAGGAGAGGGAGAAAATTATTGAGGTATTGCTCAGCCATCAATCTAGCAGTGGTGATCTCTTAGTTCTTCCCATCGTTGGAATGGGAGGATTGGGCAAGACCACCCTCGCTCAACTCATCTACAGTGACCCTCGAGTCCAGGAGCATTTCCAACTTCTCAATTGGGTATGTGTCTCAGATGATTTCGATGTCCGCAATCTTGCCATCAAGATATGTGATTGTGATGCTTCGGAGACAACCCTTGAGAAGGCACTCAACAAGCTTCAGGAACATCTTAGGGGAAAGAGGTATTATTGCTAGAGCTTATTGCTAACTCAATTCTTTCGCTTTCTATCATGCTTTTATGTTTTATTTATTCTTGCTGAACACTCAGGACGTCATGTCATGTATTGTGTACCCCTATGTAATATTTAGATAACATAAGTTTGTGCGTGGGTTGTAAAATAAAGTAGACAGGTCTAATTATCTCAGTCATGTTTTCTGGGCATAGTCACATGTAAGAAATATTTACTACTGTGTTCTACCACTATGCAATCCCATAAAAGTACAGCATGGTTCCAAAATGGAAGCTTGAATTATTGACCAAGAACATTATATAGCCACCCCACCCCACGCACATCCAAACATGGCATTAGCTCTAACAATTTTTTTCTAGAGGTCTGCAGTCTATATAACAACTTCCATTGCAATATAGGGCCATGCACAAAGAAAGGTACTAACAGAAAAAATGTTCCTAATAGGTATCTTCTTGTATTGGATGACGTATGGAATAAGGATGTTGACAAATGGGAAAAGTTGAAGGCATGTCTTAATCAAGGCGGTGTCGGTAGTGCCATATTGACGACGACTCGTGATAAAGAAATAGCTGAATTCATGGGTACAGTAGCTAACAACTCATCATGGAAAAATAAATACCATGATGTGGCAATTTTGGACAGAAAATTCATACATGAAATTATTGAAACAAGAGCTTTCGATTTGCAGAAGACTAAGCCAGAGGAGCTAGTTGAGTTGGTTGGCCCGATTGCAGAGAGATGTGTTGGACTTCCATTGGCAGCCAAAGCATTGGGGTCTGTATTGTGTAACAAGACCACTAAGGAAGAATGGGAGGACATATTACATCGAAGCACGACATGCGATGATGAGACCAGGATTTTACCTATACTCAAGCTCAGCTATAATGACTTGCCAACTGACATGAAGCAATGCTTTGCCTTTTGTGCTATGTATCCAAAGGATTATCAAATTGATGTGGACAAGCTTATCCAACTATGGATGGCCAATGGTTATATCTCAGATCAAAACAAGGTACCTGCTGAAACCATGGGTAAACGGATTGTCAATGAGATGGTTTCAAGGTCATTCTTCCAGTATGAGGAGCAAAGAAGGATTGGGTATAGTTCTACAACTTTTGTGAAGATCCATGACCTCATGCATGATGTTGCACTATCTGCTTCAGAAAAGGAGTGTGTTTGTATAACTGATGAATTCTTTCGAAGTGGTGAGATGGTTCCTAGTGCTGCTCGGCATATACTTTTTGAAACAAGCCTGGACAAAAAGAGATTAAATTTTTTATTTGGTACTACGAAGGAGAAGTTTCCACCTATACAAACAATGATGTTTGATAGATCTCATTATTACCATCTAGATGTGCCACATTCATCAAAATTTAGTTCTCTCCGAGCACTTTCTATGCCAAGACCAAAGGCTCATTTGTCAATAAAACCAAAGCACTTGTGCCACCTTAGGTACCTTGATCTCTCAGATAATGCTGGCATCGAAGCACTTCCAGATGATATAAGCATCCTATATAGTCTCCAGACACTAAAACTTTCTAACTGCAGCAGTCTCAAAAGACTTCCTGAGCAAATGAAGCACATGAGTAGCCTTCGTCATCTCTACACAGATGGGTGCACGGAGCTGGAGTGCATGCCTCCAGAGCTTGGACGAATCACCTTGCTTCGAACCATTACATGGTTTGTAGTGGGAAGTGGCTTGAATTGTAGCAGTCTTGGAGAGCTAAAGGATTTAAATATTGGTGGTTCATTAATGCTAAAGCAGCTCGAAAATGTGACAGTGAGAATAAATGCAAAAGCAGCCAACCTTGAGAATCAGAAGGATCTGAGACAACTGTCACTAGATTGGACAAGTGGTGAGGAGGATGAACAGCAATGTCGTGAGGTGCTACAGAGTCTCGAAGCTCATGATGGACTGCTGGCTCTAGAAATAAATTCCTACCAAGGCACCAGTTTCCCATCATGGATGGGTATGTTG